GGGGGGGGGCGCGGCGGGGTTGTGTCTTGCCAAACGCTGCTGTTCTCATCCTCCGCGCGCGGCGCTGAGTTTTTGGGGTCGTCTGTCTGCGGGGCGGGGCCAAGCGGCCGCTCACGCTGCAAAACAGTACCCACAACAAGCGCTGCTGCTGCGCCGACGGCAGGGTGTGAGGGGAGGGGCGCCTGCTTAGACAAGTGCGCGTGCGCGACGACATCGCCCTGGCCCGTCATTGCTCGCGGCTCCAGCAACGCCGCATCACAGTCTTATCGCTCACCGCGCCACCCCTCCCCATGCACATACTGTGCATCTCTCTCTTGACACACAGCCACACACACACACACACACACACACACACACACACACACACCGACACACACACACACACACACACACACACACCACCACCACTCACCCAGGTGCGGGCGCAGGGGGAGGACGTGCTGCGGTCAAACTCGATCCCTCGGGACAGGAGCGAAGACCTCCTGGTCAAACGCGGCAGCGGCGGGACCGGCGGCGGGAACGCAGCCGAGAACGGGGCCGCCAGCGAAGGCCGGCAGCGAGGGGACGGGGAGGCGCCCAGCAGCGGCGGCGGCAGCAGCGGCGGCGACGCCCCGTCGGACCCGGGCCCTGGCCTTTAATGCAAGCGCCGCTGCGCCGCGCCTGCCGCAGCCCCTGTAACTTCCACGCGTGTAACTTCCAGGCCTCTGCAATTTCGATGCGTGCAAGGCAGGGCGGCTGACCGGTGATAGCGCTGCCGGACAGTGAACAGTGCTGCGGGCCACAGAGCGCGTGTTCCACCCCCAAGCATCACTCGGCCGCGTCTCCTTGTCGAGCCACACCAATTGCGCTTGCCTAAACTCGACCAGTGAACCCTTGATCAATCATTACAAGCCAGAAATACACCAAAACATGTGGTCACAAGATTGAGATTAAAGGCAGAGCTTGCAATGATAATAAGGCAGGGCTTCCCCTGGCTGAGGCACTCGCCGCCTGGGCTCGACCCATGGGTCGCAGGTGGTGGGTGCTCGAGAACGCGGTAACGCGTCAAGCCGGCACCCTTGCCGCCCCCCTCCCAGCTGTCGTGGGCCCGCCGGCGCCGGCCCCGTGCCGCCAAGACAGCCGCAGCCACGCCCAGGCCAGCAGCGGCACCCAGCCCGCGACGGGGCCGGCGACCAGGGGGGCGGCCCCGTACGTGCTGACTAGGCGCAGCATCCAGCGGGCCCAGAGCAGCGCCATAGGCAGCAGGGTGATGACGTGGCCGATGCCGACGAGGGGGCCGGGGGGCTTCATGTCGAAATGGGCGTATGCATTGGAGACGTGGGCCTGGCGGGGTGACGAGGTGAGTAGGGTGGGGTTGAGGCTGGAATTGGGGTGGGGTTTGGGGAGTTGAGGAGATGGTGTGAATGCAGGGGGGGGGGTACGGAATGACGCCCCCGTCTCCAGCGCAGCGAGCAACCAGACGCGCCTGCAGCGCCCCAAAACTCACGCATCCCCCGAGCTGTATCAAATCCGCTCTCTGCGTCCGAGTCTCAAGGGCCCGAGCGCCCCGCCCACCAGCCAGAGCGATAGCATCGCCGAGCAGGTCGCCGCAAGGATCGCCCCCCAGCGACGGGTCTCCCGCGAAAGCGGCGTACCATGCGGTATGTCGTGCAACCCGGCGCCCCCGGCGGGCGGCAATCGTGAAAAAGCCCAGAGCGCCCCGTCATGGCCGCTTCACCCGGGATGGATCAACGCCCAGTAAACTGAATCCAAAGGGCCCACGCGCGCCGCCCACCAGCCAGAGCGTCAGCGGCGCGAAGCAGGCGACCGTCATGATCGTCCCGCCCAGTGAAGGGTCCGCGCATCTGTGGAGCGCCGCCCCTCCGCCCGCCGGCCGCATGAGCAGCCCCCAGGGGAACACCGCGCCCAGCCCGGCCTCGCCGCCGCTGAGGGGGGCCAGGTGCCACGGGCCTTTTTTGGGGGGGGGGCGCGTGGGGCGAGTGAGGGGTGTGTGGGCTGGCGACGTCAGAGGGTTGAGGGAGTGGGGGTGTTGGGCCGCAGGTTTCGAGGTTGTGTTGACGAAAGCGTCAGAGGAAGCTAGAAGGGGGACGGCTTGGAGAACCCGAGACTGCGTAAATGGTGCGCAGGCGGGGCCCCCTTGCGAGTCCCGTAAAGGATCCCGTTCTGCAACATGAAGGATATGAGATGGTCTCCGCAGGCTGTAGCACACAGGCATGACCGTGAAAGGCGGAGACAGGGCCCGGCGGGGCCGGACGCAACCAGCCAAGCCGCCCCGCCCCTTATGACGCGCCGCGCTGCGCCCGCCCACCTGCCACCAGCAAGGCGCTGAACGCGGCCATAGCTGTGAACGCGCGCCCCCCGCCGCAGCGCGCCCAGCATTCGGCCATAACCTGGGGGGGTGGGGTGGGGGGCCAAAGGGAATGCATGGTCACAAGGCATGGGGGGCTGCTGGGGAGGAGGCGGGGCTTGCTGGCCGGAGCGGGAAGCGCTAGGGTTGTTGGGTGCCGTGGATGATGGTTGAAGGAAAGCGCGACGGGCCCTGAGCGCAGCAACTGCTGCAGAGGGTCGCAGGCAGGGCCTTCGGTGGTAGGGTAGGGGCCGGCGCACCTTGAGCGGCCACAGTGCCGTTAGCAGCAGCAGCCGCCACGCGCGCCCCGCCAGCGCCCCGAACCACGCCGCCGCCGCGCCCGCCGCGCGCCCGCCCGCAACGGCGCCGCCGCTCCCGCCGCGCCGAGAGGCGG